AACACAATTTTATCACAGATGAGCCTCAAGTTTGTGCACCGTTACTTGTATCCTGTCACATTCTACCTTCTTGCTCAGAGTCGGGTGTTTGTGTCTGTGAAAACATGCTGCACAAGTGACCTGTGACACGAACAAAGAGTCTTCTGGGCATTCACCCAAGTCCCACCTAACTGCTGTTCCTCTCTGTGTTTCAACAGGTGACTTTCTGATCTTTGACGACTCGCCAAGGCTGAACTTGTACATGAGCATTTTGTAGAATGTTCAGGTGCATCCATGTATTTAAAAGCCAGCAATTGTCTCCTATAATTTAAGAAGTTGGCTCATCTATAACTGGGCAGGAGTATTCTGGGCTTAAAGGGTGAAATTTGGTCGCCATATTCCTCAGAGCTGGGCTGGCAAGGTACTTAAATTTTGGTAAATGGTAAATGGCCTGTATTTGATATAGTGCCTTCTAGAGTCTTGGAACCCCTCAAGGCACTTGACAACAAAATCAATCATTCACCCATTCACACATACATTCACACAATGGTGGGGATAAGCTACGATGTAGCCACAGCTGCCCTGGGGCGCACTGACAGAGGCGAGGCTGCCGAGCACTGGCGCCACCGGTCCCTCCGACCACCACCAGCAGGCAAGGTGGGTTAAGTGTCTTGCCCAAGGACACAACGACAGCGACAGACCGAGCAGGGCTCGAACCTGCAGCCTTCCGATAACGGGGCGAGCACTTAACTACTGTGCCACCGCCTCCCCACAAAACTTTATTGGATTTTAGCTTTACGCTGACGCAGGCAGCAGGCTGCTGCACCACGTGTAGTACTGAAAGATTCCACTAGGGGGCACAGTATAGAACTTAGACCGGGGGTGTTTCTCGATGCTAAGGAACCTTGCCTTGATGTCTTGGTCCCGCCCTGGTTGCCTAGGAGATATGTTATCAGGAACTGTCAAAGCGTGTTCCAGTGTTCATGTTCTACCAAGGCGTGTGTTCTCCGTTTGTTAGCCGTTTAGCTAGCCGAGCAAGGGTACACGGGAGATGTCTTGAAGCCTAGGCCTTGGTCAAAAACTTCCCAGAATACACCGCGGTATTGTCAAAAGGATGGCGGATCAGAAGCCAGCAGCTACTTTGAGGGAACATTTTAAGTTTAGATATAAGTCAACTAATTGTAGCTATCGGGCTGATATCTGAAATGTTTTTTTTTATAAAGAAGTTATCTATGGTTGGTTAGCTGCTACGGTGGCTAGCGGGTACTAACTCACTTACATATTTAATTTAACAAATATATACACAATTTATAAAAGTAGTGCCCCTCTACTTCCGGATCGTGGGTCCCCAGCTGCCAAAGAAAATGAGAGGTTCTACAGAGGGATAAAAGTTTTTTCATCCGGTTTGATATGGGCCATGGACTTCACATATGATGTGTGTGGATGCTAAAGATACATTTTGATGTCAACAAAGCATTTATTTTCCACAGGCGGCAAAGGTTATTTTAAGTTTTGAGTGAAGAGACATAACAAACTAGAAATGAGTTTAGCGAGCTTTGAAACCTTATTCCAGGACGACAGAAGGTGCAAAAAATGTGGAGAAAACCATCATCAAATCAAATCAAATTTATTTTCACATGATCACATCAATCATTTACTCATCTTACAACAACATTCATTGACACCATACATGTGAAAACCATAAATATACCATAAATCTAGCCTGAGCCTAAGTCTCATCCCGTTAGCCTTGTTGACTTGCATTCATTTTTTTCGTTCTTCTGAGGACCTGGTCCGGAAGTAGATGGGTGTGACTTAGGCTCCCTATGCTAAGCTAAAGCTAACCTAATTCTGCTAAATGATGAGAAAGACGGTGCTGGTTACAAAATGATTTTTCCCATTTTTCAGAATCTGAGAGATATGGCAACGGCTTAAATTTCACCTAGGGGAATATCCCTTTAGGCCCAGAAAACCAGAGTCTTGGAAAAGTCATGATCGGTTAGTTCTGATGATGTTTTTGTTGGACTTCAAACTTCAAAATCATGTATTCATCTGCACACCCTGTTGCAGCATCATGAGGGCTGCATTTGAACTCAAAATCACTGTGGACACACAGAGGAGGAATATAAAATGATGCAAACAGCTGTGGTAAACGGGGAGACAGAGACAGAAAGAGCGAGCAAAAGATGATACAAAAGGACTTTGAGTGAGTGACAAAACTTTATTGGATTTATTTGTCTTCCACGGCTTCTCAGATGAATCTCATTTTTTGTGGCTGACAGCGAGGGATGTGCACATCAAAGAGGACCGCAGTAGAGACAAATGTCTGTTTCTTTATAATGAAAAAGATGCAGGACCTTTTTTGGAAAAGAAAAGCATGAGAGTTCACTACAAATCTTACTTAAATATGTCTAACATCAAAGGCTGAATGTGTTACAATAAAATCTATCAGGAAAAATAACAATAATTCTTTGGTGCATTAAAGAATCAAAAAGAAAAAATGGAACGGCAAACTGATTCCAGAATAAAAACCAGGCACAGCTTGTTTCACTCGGACGCTGCTTGTTTTCTTCTTGGCAGGTAATTTAAACATTTCTTTATTTATTGTAGAAAGTGGCTGGATGAGCTTTTGCAATGGTGGCTACCTCTGCTTCATGTTAGTCATCGTTAGACATTGTTTATAATGAAGTACTTCTCTGCTTCTTATGGACAATGTAAAATGGAATCTCTGTAAACCGGGGCTATTTGCCTCTGGTCCTGGAGGGGCCCTGCCCTGCAAGTTTGAACTGTTTCCCTGCTCCAACACACCTGCGTGTCAGGTTCTTCAGACACCTGCTCACGCAGCAGCCTAAACCAAATGTTATAAAGACTCAATGCTAACCATGACTGCTTGTTCGTTTACCTTTAATACAGATGGTTGTTTGTTTGCAGTAAGATTTATGGTTAAACTTGTAAATGTAAAAGTTGATTTTAAACAGAGAATGTAGCTTTTGCGTTACATTTGAACACTTTGAATAAATGCTCTGTTAAAAATGTTTAGTGTGACCGGATGATGTACACCAGGGGTGGGGAATCCTGGTCCATCCAGGGCCACTATCCAGCATATTTTAGTTTCAACCCTGCTTCAACACACCTGATTTCAATCAGCGGGTGCTTAATAGGCTTCTGCAGAGCCTGATGAGCTGCTTAACAGATGAATCAACCACTGAATCAGAAGTGTTTGAGCAAAGACATGCAGGATACCGGCTCGTGAGGACCAGGGTTCCCCACGCCTGATGAGTAAAAAGCGTCGAACAAACAAGATGGTCTTTTGTTGTCTCCATACTATATGTGGATTACTCATTTTTTTCTATTCTAATTTTAGCTGTACATGTTTGTTTATTGAAGGTACAATAAGTAACAGTTCTACTGAGAAATAATCACAAAACAGCCCGTCTCAATCATGACGGAAGGAAAGTTCCATTGAAACAGATTTCCTCCTCAGCCGGCTCAGTTTTTCTTTTTGTAAAAAGGCCGACGAGCCCTGTCATTGTGCACCCCCAATATGCATTATGAATCCAGAGGGGAGCGGGTTTTTTGTTGCCCCAAAACAAACAAGCTTCCTTTTTTGCTTTGAAATCCCACTTTTTCTGTCAATCTCTAGGCGACTGACTTTCTAATTTTAGTTTTTGCTGTGCTTTTTTCTTAAAAAAGGACCTGACATAAAAATAAATGTTTAGTTTGTCCCTTAAATAATGAAATGACAATGAATGCACATTATTTGTATAATATTTGGTTCACTTTTGAATTTCCCCCATTTAAAATAAAAAAATACATATTTTTCATGCCCAAGGTACCACTGCTTTTATCTTGATAGTGGGTTACGCATTTTAAGGAATTGTTACATCTGAAGAAAAAACAACCCCACCAAATTTTACAGGTTCCATACAATAACTTACAATAACAGGCTACTTTTTATTTCTTCATTTGTATTTCTGATATCAAACTCCACAGTTAGGAACTTTCTCCTCAGCTGTTCAAAGCATCATGGGCTGCATCTCACCTTTAAGAAAACGGTTAAAGACGAGCTGTCTTTGAAGATTGCTTTTTGCTTTGGATGAGAATTATACCGGAGGAAATGGGAGCGTCAAGCTCAAGTTTCACTCATCAAGGATCAACAGACCCATTTATTCAAACCAGGTGAGGTAGTGCAGGGAAACATCGGACTCCTTGCAGGTAGTGACCCTCGAGGACCCGGATTAAATAGCCTTGCTGTACATCTTTTGTACCTAAACTGTCAAAGTCAGTCAGTGTGTGACTGTCAATCAAAACTACAGACTTTCCACAGAAATTGTCAACACATTTTCCCTCATGTTGCGTAAAATGTCAGTGAGATCCGGTTAGACTTCCTGTCTTTGAACACGATAGTCAGCACAGCAAAACGCTGCACGTCATTCTCTTTCTCAGGTGTTCAGTTACAGTAGCGTGGTTTAACTCTACTTTAAAGTGACAATGTGTAGTTTTTACCATTAATCTCTGGAAATGCCCAACGAAATGTTATTGTAAATGAATTAGAAGATGCCCAGTTGTTGAAAAATATTGGAAGTTTCACAACATGTAACCATAAAAATCTGTTCTAAAATGCATGTGAGCGGGCCTAAGTATGTGGGTGAAGCCATATTGGACGCCATGTTTCTTTCTACGGAAGCCAGTGAGGATGAAACACATTTATTGATTTGTAAGAAATGGTAACAAAACTTTCACCAATAATAAATGTTTTGTTTTACACGTTTACCTCTTAACCCGTTGCCAGTGATGAAAGGAAGTCTGATGTGCTTGTCATTTTACTGGAGGTAGCACTCCCAGGGATTTTTGACCCTAATGGCCATCCGTTGGTAAGGTCTTACTTGAACACAAAAATAATGCTTGCTTGCAATGATTTAGGTATGTACTGTCCCCTATCGCCAGGGAAAATACACACTGTCACTTTAAGGCTAATCTACTTTTCTTGCATTGGAATAAAATCACTTAAATGACGACATTCAATCAAAATCCTTAAGTCACTCCAAGGAGAAAATGTGTAAAGAAATTCCACAAGTGTTTGAAACATCAGGTGTTTTATTGGTAAAGTCGTGTTCTCGCTGTGAGCCAGCTCTAATTTTCCACCCTGCACCGTGGCAAGGGAAGCAGACTGTCCTTCAGCATTTGAGATAAATCAACATTCAGCAGCAGAAGCAAGCAGTCGGCCTTTGGGTCTGCCAAGAAAACCATAAACTTAATTAAGAACCATCTTACAAGGTGTGTGCAGTAGAAGACCTGTAATCAAAGCCTAATGCCAGCCACAAATTGGTCCAACAAGCAGTTAAAACTGATGCCGAGAAGTTTGTGCAGGCCCTGAAGGGAGCCTGCAGGATTTCACAGCTAATATAAAGAGATGGGGCATTAAGGAACACACTCCAAGGGTAAATCACTGCTTCACCCCCTGCTCTTACCTCTTACAGTTTGCAAAATGATGCCAAGGGGGTGGCCTGCAATGTTATTTATTTCATAAGAACAGGTCAATTACAGTTGGTGCAAAGGATGGATAGAGGCAGGCATACACTGGTTTCTTCTTGGTTATGAAACAAAATTTATTCCAAAAACTTCGCACAAATTTGTTTTCTAACCTTAAAATCACTAACATGTGTGCTTATAATCAGCCAGTTTAGCAAAGGTACTGATCTCATGTATACAGAAACCTCAGAAACACCAGCTCAACACCTGAGAACCAGCAAATAAGGTCATGGATGTCTATGTTCATGATATTTTGTTTCAGGGTAATTTGACAACGGATAACCTGAAATAGAACAGGCATAAACAAGTCGGAGTCAAACCCAAAGAATGCAGTCTTGCAGAAATCAGTTAAGATAAACATCACCTAGAGTAACAACACGGGAACAGCAGCAATAAAAGACAAATAGGGTCTGACTGAAAGCATTTCTATCCTTTCACACACACAAAACTAATCCTTGTATCCAATAAATGCAGAAATGTTGCTTTTAAAATACCAGATTAGTCTCAAAACTCAGCCCCATAACAGTACATTCCCTCTAACTGACAAGCAAACATTACCTAAAGAAGTCAGATCCTAATCCTGAAATAGAAAGTAGAGAACAAACCAATGGTAGACATCCATACCAACCAAGGCACCACCCCAGTCCAAACCCCTAAGACAAGCTGTTTCCAAAGCCTTCACATAATGTGTAACCTTATTAACTCAAATTTTGTTGTGTTGCTCAGACAAAGTTCATTTCACCTGTCAACGCTTCAAACCAACTCCAAATCAATAACTGCTGTCATGTTTTGATTTGCAGGAAGTGCTCAGACTCCTGTTCCCTTGTGTGTCTCTCACAGTGTGTGTGTGTGTGTGTGTGTGTGTGTGTGTGTGTGTGTGTGTGTGTGTGTGTGTGTGTGTGTGTGTGTGTGTGTGTGTGTGTGTGTGTGTGTGTGTGTGTGTGTGTGTGTGTGTGTGTGTGGCCCGGAGGACAGAGGACAGGAGAACACGCAGCAAATTAATTAAATAGTTTGGTTCTGTACTTTTCTCTTCAGCAAAGGTTTATGATGGGTCAGTTCTCCTTACTTGAAAAAATTGTTCCAAAATGAAGTTGAAGCCACATCTTTTTTTATCTGTGAATTCAATGCCGTTCGGCGAGTCTCAAATAAAAATTTGGGCATCTTACTGTAAAAAAATATATAATTATTGTAAAAGCAAAATTCTGAAACAACTATGTTCACATCAAGAATCAAACCCAGGTCATCTGCACAAAAGCCCAACAATTTACTAGGCGAGCTAAATCGCCAGTGGCATCTTCTTCATCTGTAACATTTATAACCTTGATGACGGCTGAAACAACGTTCAAAGAACGGTTCGGAGGGCTATGCCTGAGCGTGAACGCGCATGAAGCAGCCTGCGCGACCCGAGCATCTCTCTTTTTCTGCGATTTTACAGAAAAACAGGCAATCACAATAAAAATGCCAGGGCTCATTCTACAGTACCAGGGCATTGCAGGAGAATGTATTAAGAAGAAATTTATTATTTCTATACATGTTTTGGCTGTCAAACTTCCATAATGCCCCTTTAAATTTCGAAAAGTGCAGAAAAGATTAAAAATGGGGCTTTTCGTGCATATACAATGCATTACAGTAGCCAACGGCATTCCCTGTCTTGAGCGCAACGAATCACAACAAAGATTCAGAGACGTGCTGAGTTTGTCATCCAAAATGCTCCGTTTTATAACTATTCAATGGTTGATCAGATTCAAGAAATTCCAACGGTTCCTAAAAGTACATAAAAGCAGCTTTCCAATGATCTATAGCATGAAGCAATCAGAGTTATGGAAAATATCGCGACAAGGGGAAATCCTGCTGTACAGCCTGATTGAAAAGGAGCACAGCTCAGCGGTGAAAGTGGATAATGGAACAGGGAAGCTAATTAGCATAAAAAGCCGGCATTAAATTATGGAAATGCCTCAAAGAAAAACAACACGATCTATTAGATGTCCCAGAAGGCTTATATCTGAAGACAGTGACCACGAAGAAGGACAGATCTCCAGTGCAGGGTATGAATGTTTGCTCAGTCTTTATTTTTTTATTTGAACAACCCTCAACTATTTGCTAATTGTAAGATTCAGCTTCATTCTAGCATTATTTATATTTTTACAATAAATAATTATTTTTGCTAAAACAAAAGTTTTTGGTATAGCAGTGTACGGTGTGCAAGAGAAGCACCCCGTGGAAGTGTGAGGTGTGCAGGACTTTGCCTGCAGCTGGAGAGAAACTGCTTCAAGGTCTACCACATCAAATAAAAACGTCTGGAAGTTTACAAAAATAAATGGTCTTAAAAACTGCTAAAAAAAGATACCAAGGTTCAAACTTTTTTAAGAATAGATGCATTACAGTTCAAAGTTTAAAGTGTTTGTTCCAAATTGTTTGCCCAGTAATTTTGAAGTTCCTGTTCAGTAATAAATGTAAAAAATTCTAATCATTTTTTTGCTTTTTTCACCTTTAAGCAATTTTTTAAAGGCTTTAATACAAATAAATTCTAAATACAAACCATACATTTAAAGCTGAGGTTGTTCTGAAAAAAGAAGTTACACACACTTTGCACTTTTTATTACAATTTTAAAGCCATAAAATTTAAAAAATACCATGCGGCCCTGTTATAATTATGGTCATAAGAGGGTTATTAAGACACTGATGCACAAACAGGAGGTGATTGGTAGTCATTCCACTCCAATCCAGTTGGTGGCGGTAATGCACCAAATTGTTGTTTGCCAAGTGCCATAAGACCACAAATAATAATAAGAAGAGAGGCGGGAGCATTCGTAACAAACTCAAAGCGATAGCCAAAACATTAAGCATGAAACTGAGTTATCCTAGTGGCTCCAATAAGAGAAAGAAGCAGCATGCTTCATAAAAGCTTTTATTTTCACTTCTGAAAGTGACGTCGTTTTTCGATGTAAACAGCAAAAGGAAGCAGAAAGGAAAGACAATGGAAAATGTTTAAAGGGAGGAAAACACAGACCAAAATGGAAAATAGAAAAAAAAAACAAAGGCAAAAGCACAGGAGCACTGACAGGAAAAAGAAAGCAGAGCAAATATTGAAAGCGCTCAAAGGGAGGGAAATACAGGAAAAAAGAGGAGGACTAATAAAAAGGGAAAATGATTCATGTCAGAAGAGGGGAGAGTTTCGCAAATCCAGTTAAAGGTAAGATTGTCGAAAATTTTGTGTAAGGGGCCCCATGTCTGTGTTCGCCTTGGGCCCCCAAATTGCTAAATCCGCCACTGCATGAAACAACCATCACCTGGTGCCAGAAAAACATAACAATCTCTAAATACTCATTAAAATGCATTTAAGACCCTCTACCTGTGCCAGAGTGGTGATTACGCACATTTACTAAGAAATCACAATGTAACTATAGAAACATTACTTGGTATGTATAGGAAACTTTTTACTGATTGGCTTAATGAACTGGGGCCTCATTTATCAAGCTTGATTACGCACAAAACAGGGTTGGAAAACTGCGTAAGCAACTTTCCACGCAAACTTTAGGATTTATGAAAGAAAACGTAGCGGAAAAATGTGCGCAACTTTAAGCTGACTAAGGACCTGGCTTATGCACAAGTTGGACATGGGCAGCACCTGCAGTGCTGCTGCTGAGAAGATACAATTATGAAATCCAGCAGCATTATCTCTTTTACAGCTTCGTTTTCACACAGACAAGCCCCCCCCCCCCCCCCCCCCCCCCCACACACACACACACACACGCACGTGCACACTCACACTCACACACACGCACACACACACACAGCCTGAAGCGCAGAATACGGAATGCAGAATATCAGCAGGGGGGCAGATTGAGACAGAATGTCATGCGTCTGACAGTGCGTGTCCTGTCACTGTGACCCGATTGATCATGCGCCCTGGCTAGTTGAACAGGGGAGATTTCTGTTTGGCTGACTGGTTAGCGTGTGTGACTTTCACCTGGTAGTCTGGGGATCGAATCCCGATTGGACCATTTTTTTTATATCCGCCACAGATCTCTCTGAAGAATTAACAACATTGACGGCTTCAGCAACACTGTGCCACTCTGTGGATTTTCTCTTATTTGTTTTGCAAAAGCACTTCCTTTCATTTCTCCACCTCACCAACAGGTACCTCAATTTCTGCTTCTGTGAAATTGCGCTTCCTTGATCTGCCTTGATCTACGGTCGCCATCGTCATTGGCGGAACGCTGCAACAGCCGGCTTATGTGTATGCATGAGATCCACAAGGCACTTTGCATTGACTATTTATGGCAGTAAGTGGGCGTGGTGAGGGCAGGATGTGACTAAAATGCAGCTGAGAAACACTCTCGTTAGTCTCTGATTTATGAAGCGGAGATTGCGTGCAGCTGTGCGTACTCCATGTTTGATAGATCACAAACCTACTTGGGGTAAGTACTTTTTTTTTGCTGAGCTTAAGTACGGTTTTAGTAAGGATTCTACGCAATGTTTGACAAATGAGACCCCTGACCTGTATTGGAATGTTTACTGTGTGAAGTGCCTTGAGACGACTCTTGTCGTGATTTGGCGCTTTATAAATAAACTTGAATTGAACTGAATTGAATTGCTGATGGGAAAATCAGCCACAGCTGAGACTCTCCGACACACCCACCTGCAACAAGCTCAGTGGAGCAAAACATGATGAGTCCATGTAGAGAAATACAGATCCATGAAAGAACCGTGACAATGATCTTTAAAACATATTAAATTAACTGGATTGATGTGAGATGTTTGATAGAAAGTATATTTTCATCGTGTTTAAACCCTCTGGAGGCAGGCGTTGCAGATTTGCAACGTATAAGCCTACCTACCTGGTTACTCCACATACGTGTTTCGTGAGCACTTTTAACTCAGAAGTACCCCTGAAGGATTTAGTTGTTCGTCCTTTTATCAAAACTTATTTTGAGCCTGAGAGGGTTAAATGTCCTAGCGGGGAATTGCTTTGCAACACTCCCCAGGAGACGGAGAAGTCTGAGGGCAAATTGTCTCCATCCGTGCGAGCGTGCCTCTCCCTCGTGGCGATGACGGAGAAGTATAAATTAGGCTTAACGTGTCAGGATTTTAGAATTTGGGGTTGGGGGTGAACTGGAGCACCCAGAGAAAACCCCCACGCAGCACACGGAGACACAGAAATGATTTGATCGGTTGAGATGTCACCTGTGCTGCGTTTTTTTTTTTTTTTGTGGTAATTTTTTCGTTTGTATTTTAGTACCTGGTGGTGGAAGAAGCTACATCCTAGACACATAGTGTAAAAATTCTCTAATGTAGTGGCATTTTAAATCAAGAGCCAACCCATCTAAGGTACTGACTCTTATGGGCCATTCCCATCCGTACCTGGTCGGCCCTGCTCGGACAGCTCCAGTCGGCCCCACTTATTTTGAGCCTGAGAGGGTTAAATGTCCTAGCGGGGAATTGCTTTACAACACTCCCCAGGAGACGGAGAAGTCTGAGGGCAAATTGTCTCCGTCCGTGCGAGCGTGCCTCTCCCTCGTGGCGATGATGGAGAAGTATAAATTAGGCTTAAAGTGTCAGGATTTTAGGATTTTGTGTTGGGGGTGAACTGGAGCACCCAGAGAAAACCCCCACGCAGCACACGGAGACACAGAAATGATTTGATCGGTTGAGATGTCACCTGTGCTGCGTTTTTTTTTTCTTCGTTTGTATTTTAGTACCTGTTGGTGGAAGAAGCTACATCCTAGACACATAGTGTAAAAACTCTCTAATGTAGTGGCATTTTAAATCAAGAGCCAACCCATCTAAGGTATTGACTCTTAGTCTATGGAAACTAGAAGCTCTGATAAGCGTAATTGTTAGAGCTAAAATCTTTAACCCATTCCTATTTCCTCCTGCAGAAGCTCTTGAAGAACTACAGGTTAATTTTCTGCTCTTCTAAAATTTGAGCCTTTGTTTAATCCCTCGTGTTACTGTGTGTTACTACTTACTAAATTTAGATTGGCTGCTCGTATTATTTCCTCTGCCTGCAATCCTTTTCCTGCAGGTCTGCAGCATCTACTCTCTCACCCATTCAGTTTCTTCTCTCTGAAATTTTTACGTTTTCCTGATTCAAATTCTGTTTCCTAGTTTTAAAAAATCTAAACCCATGCCAAGCTCCCTACTTCACTTTTATATGCTTTTCTGATCTTCATTGGTGTTCTGGAAGAAGTCGTCTCTAGTAGAAGTCGGAATAGTCCCAGCTTAATTCTAGGCTAGATGTAGCCTCCCAGTCTTCTTCAGCCTCCCATTCTTCTTCAGCGCTCCCATGGGCAGGCCCGGGGTTCTCTGGAAGCTCGTCGTTATCATCATGAAGACTGGGAACAGTTGGGTTCCCGTCACTGGGTACCTGGGTAGTCACTGTTTTTTCTAAATTCAGTTCCCCCAGATCTTCAGACACAGCTGTGGGACTGTCAGACTCGTCCTCCACAGGTGGCTGCTCGTCTTCGACGTTTAAAGATGCTTTCTGCATTTCTTCCCTTAGTTCAATCGTTTGTGTTTCATCATTATGAGGACATACTGCGTAGCAGGGGCCCCTGTATCGGGTACCAAGTAACAAGTGCCCTCTAACCCATTGCTGGGTACCTAACAGGTATCCAGTTCCCAAGACATGGTCAGCCAGAGTTTGCACCTCCTGATGAATCTGGGCTGAATCTTTTTCGTTCTCTTGAGAGTCCATCTTCTGTTCTTCTAAACTCTGATTCCCAGCTTCTAAATACTGGAACTCATCTAGGAAGCATTCATACTTTTCTTTATGCTCCTCTTCTGAATTTGTCTTTGTTTTTTCTAAACTCAGTTCCCTGACATCATCATCATCATCATGAGGACCGTGAAGAGTTGGGTTCCCGTCACTGGGTACCTGGGTAGTCACAGTTTTTTCTAAATTCAGTTCCCCCAGATCTTCAGACGCAGCTGTGGGACTGTCTGACTCGTCCTCCACAGGTGGCTGCTCGTCTTCGACATTTAAAAATGCTGCTTCCAGCTCCTGCACAATCTGATCTAAATCCCCCTCTTCCTCTTGAAGAAGCTGGAAACATTGTCCAACATGTCTGTCAATTTCATCCATTCTCGCTTGCAAAGAATTAATTACCTCTTGAGTCAAAAGTTCAACCCCTTCTTCCAGAGCTTGTTGTTTCTCCTTTAAAAGGTGAGTTTCTGCTTCCCTTTTTTCCATAAACTCTAGTTTCTCTTCCTCCAGGTTTTGTGGGAGCGTTACTAAACAGTCTCTCTCTTCCTGAAGAACCCGTTGAATGTCTTGAATGACCTGCTCTGAGTTTATGTTTCTCTCTTCAGAGTCTGTCATCTGTTTGATGAGAGTTTGTTGCCTAATTTGGAATATTTCCAGCTCTTTTGCCTGTATTTCCTTATTCCCCTCTTCCGATCTGAACTTTGTTAACTGGAAATTTGTCTTTTCTTCCTCCAGAGTTTCTCTCTGAAGTCTCAGACCCTCCAGCCCTTCTTCTAGAGCAGTTTCTTTCTCTTTTAAGATCTTACCTGCTGCAGCAATTTCTTCCCTAAAGTCCGTCACTTGTGTTTCCAGACTTTGTTTTCCCAAACGCAAATTGTCTAATTCTTCCTGGAGGAATTTGTAAATCATCCCTTGTTCCTTCTCTGATTCTGACTTAGTTATCAGGAAACGTTGTTTCTCTTCCTCCAGGTTTTGTCGGAGCATTACTAAACAGTCTCTCTCTTCCTGAAGAACCCGTTGAATGTCTTGAATGATCTGCTCTGAGTTTATGTTTCTCTGTTCAGACTCCATCATCTGTTTGTCTAGACTCTGTTGCCCAACTCGTAATTTTTTCAGCTCTTGTTGGAGGTAAGCATGTATTCCTTTATTCTCCTCTTCCGATCTGAACTTTGTTAGCTGGAAATTTGTATTTTCTTCCTCCAGAGTTTCTCTCTGAAGTCTCAGAACCTCCAGCCCTTCTTCTAGAGCAGTTTCCTTCTCTTTTAAGATCTTACCTGCTGCAGCAATTTCTTCCCTAAAGTCCATCACTTGTGTTTCCAGACTTTGTTTTCCCAAATGCAAATTGTCTAATTCTTCCTCGAGGATTTTGTAAATCCTCCCTTGTTCCTTCTCTGATTCTGACTTGGTCATCAGGAAACGTTGTTTTTCTTCCTCCAGACTTCTCTTCTCAAGACTCAGAAATTCCTGCTTCTCCTTCAAATCCTGTAAACTTTCGTTGAAATCTTTCACAAACCTTTCTGCTGTTTTCATTACCTCCAATTTGTCCTCCTGCAGATTTTCTCTCAGAAGTTGAACATCTAGTTTGTCTTTGAGCAGAATCTGTCGGATCTGCTCTGATTCAGTCTGAAACTCAACGATCTGGTTCTGTAGAGTAATTTTCCCAGCGTTTAAACGCTCCTTCTCATCGCGGAGAGCCTGCTTTTCTGCAGTTAACTCCCTTTCTGTTTGTTCCTTAGATTCGATAAACTCTAATTTCTGTCTTTCCAGATCTCTTTTCAAGTTGTTAATTTCTTCTGTTGATCTCTCTTCGCTTACCTGTAAAGCTTTCCACAAATCTCTGACTTTCTCTTGTGTCTTATTCAAGTTTTTGGCCATCTCACAATTTGCAATTTGAGTTTCTTTAATCTTATTCCACTCATCTTGAATTTCTTGTCTTTGTTTCTGCAGTTCCCTGTTTTCCAACTCAATCTTTACTCTGTGTTCGTCGAGTAACTGAGTTGAAACAAAATTATCTCTTCCTTTCTGAGAGCTAGTCTTTAGTTCATCAACATGATTCGTTAGTTTCTTTTGTTGATCCTCAAAGTGGCATTCTCTTTTCTCCAGATCCTGCGTTTTTGTTTCTAATTTCTGTCTTTCCTCTTGGAGACTTTCCCTGATGCAAGCTATGTTTTTCTCAAACGCATCCACCCTTTGTTCAAAGTCGCGTTCCTGGTTACCAAAAACTAGTTTTTTGACTTCCAGATCTTGTAATTCTCTTTGTAAAATCTCATATATTTGGTCTAATTCAGCTTCATATGTGTCTGAAAATACCTCCATGTTTCCCTCGTGTGGTCCACCAGTAGCCATTGTAGGTCTGTTCAGGTCTAAAACCAATCTGCAAATGAAGCTGTCTGTGTGCCTGCTTTGTTTGCCCTTTATATAGGACTGTGCCCTTTATGACATCATCAAAGGAAGCTGATGCTTGCAGATTCCTTTTCCCTGACCATTATTATCATTATTTTTTTTGTTCTCCCGGAACTGCACTGCTCTGGGCGGCTGCATGTTGGAGTAGCTCTGTTGACTATATTTAAGTTATGCCTTTTCTTGGACATTTTTTCTTCTAGTTTCTCAAGAAAAACTGTATTTTTTGGACACTTTACTTTTCTGTTTCTGGTGCTGTGAAGCTTGGAGGATTTTTACTGCTATTTTTTTTTTTAGCTTTTTTCAGTTTTTGAACATTTGTTATGATGCGTAACCATGGCAACAAGCTGGTTTAACATCGGGAGCAGCTGATTGGCCACTGGAGGAGATAATGCAAAGGAGGATTCTCCAGAGAATCAAGAAAATTATGGACAACCCTGAGCATTCTCTTCACAAGACTGTCCGACAACGGAAGAGTGTCTTCAGTCAGAGGCTTCTTCAGTTTCGCTGCAACACTGACTGCTACTGGAGATCCTTCCTGCCAACAGCCATTGTAATATACAATAACGCTTTGATGACTTGATTATTATTATTATTCTGAGCTACTACAGCAATCAATTTCCCTCGGGGCTTAATAAAGTATTTTTTGAATTGAATTGAATTGAATCTTTTTTTCTTTGTTGTTATAGTTCTGATTACAATTAAACATGTCCCCTGGTGACCTGTTGATGTTGTGGTGTTGTGGTCCTTATGCCTGATGCTTTGTACCATCAACAGAACATTTATCGTATGGATGTTTGTGCTTATTTAATACATCTGATTCCTGGTTGTGTTGTAGAAGATCCTCCAGGTCTGGGTCAGTTAGAGACTGGGACATTTACAAAATAACACTGATTATTATTTTATGAAATATACAATATTTTAGTCATATTCTTTGTTTTTGGTTGTCAGCTGAAAAACTCAATTATTTAAAAGTATTTTGGCCATAAAATGTTTGAACCATTGCTTTTGTTCTTTTGTGATGAAGTGGAGGAAACTAAGCTGCTTTTTTCTTCATACAAAATGGACCACACACACATTAATTAATGCTGCATTTAGTTTTATCCATGTTAATTAAACAGATTTTCCATAATGTGTTTCATTATTTAAAAATAAGGGGTGTTTAATCATTTACTGTCAATCTGAATATAAAATGATAAATGCTGTATTTTTATTTGTATGACTTTATTTTCAGGACAGATAAAAAATGATCATTTATAGTAAAAGTTCATAGTAAAAAACAAAATCTGAGGGATCCGGTTATTGCGGCCATGTAGGAGGACGTGTTTTTTTTTTTTTTTTTGCTCTGCTGCTAAGTTGATTCTAACGTTCTCCTGCTCACTAATAACTTAAAAATCAGGACGTTTTTGCGGAACAACGCCTAATGCGATTAAGTCACAGAAGGGAAAAGGAGGAACAACTAAACAAGCGAGCCTGTTTGACTGTAGTCTTCGAGGTGAAGCAACTAAAGCTAACCAGGCCATGGCTACGCAGACTGACAACGAAAATGAACCCGTGAGTACCAAAGCTGACCAGATACTGGCAAAGATACACTCAATGGAAACGGGCTTCGCATCAAGGCTGGATAATATGGCAACAACATTACAAGAGGTGAGGAAAGATATTAACGACTGCGGAGAACGTATGTCGCAAGCTGAGGAACGCATCTCCACTGCGGAGGATGAGCTGGTTAGCCTGCAAGCTAAAATTAGTACAAGCTAAAAACTAAACCATGGAGAACAAATTTGTGGATCTAGAAACCAGGTCACGTATGAATGACCTACGGCTCATGAACCTACCGGAGGGTGCGGAAGTATGGTTGGAATGTAAGGTTGGAATCCTATAAGTTAGTAGTTTATTGATTTGTAGGATGCAAAAGAAGATAACAAATCGAGTGAGCCTTTTTGTTGATGTTGTTGTTTTTTCTTTTTTCTTTTCCTCTTTCGATTAATGAATGTTTTGTATCAATAGATTGACACTTTGACTACTAGAGAGCAAGTTAAAGGATTATATATGTACAAAAGGGGACTGCATAATGTGACTGAGTTATCTCAAGAGTGCCTATAACATGTTATTAGTAAAAATGGGAAATAGAGTTACATATAATGGGCGTTAATTGAGACGAGCAGGAGTTTTGACTAACTATTACCTACGGTTTAGCAGCAGCAGTGTTTTTTTTGAAGCAGGTTAAGATCCAAAAGAGTGGTAAGATTGATCCCCACAAGTGTGGATCGGTCTCAGCGATAACGGAGGTCCAACAGTTAGGGGAGGGATGCCCACCATTGTGGGCACAGGGAAAGAGGGAGGGGGGTTGTGTTATTTTTTAATGTTGGACGCAAGCCCCCATAATACTGGTATGAAAATTAAGCCAACACGGAAGTGACAAAAATTGCAGTTCCACCCTCATCCTAAAGGGTTCCTTAAGGCTCTGGATGTTGTGGGGCTGTGTTGGCTGACGCGGCTCTGCAATATCGCGTGGACATCGGGGGAAGTCAGTCCCACTGGACTGGAAGACCGGGGTGGTGGTTCCCTTATTTGAAAAGGGGGACCGCAGGGTGTGTTCCAACTACAAGGGATCACACTCTTGAGCCTTCCTGGTAAGGTCTATTCAGGGGTTCTGGAGAGGAGGATCCGTCTGATTGTTGAACCTCAGATTCAGGAGGAGCAATGTGGTTTTTGTCCTGGCAGTGGAACACTGGACCAGCTCTATACCCTTAGGGGGGTCTTGGAGAGTGCGTGGGAATTTACCCAACCAGTCTACATGTGTTTTGTGGATTTGGAGTAGGCATTTGACCACGTCCCTCAGGGGGCCCTGCAGGGGGTACTACGGGAGTATGGGGTACCAGGCCCTCTGATACGGGCTGTTAAGTCCCTGTGTGACCGGTGTCAGAGCTTGGTCCGCATCTCGTCCCCAGTGAGAGTTGGGACTCCACCAAGGCTACCCCTTTTCACCGATTCTGTTCATAACCTTTATGGACAGGAGTTCTATGCACAGCCAAGGTGTGGAGGGTGTCCGTTTTGGTGGCCTGAGGATCAGGTCTCATCTGGGATGAATAAACAGTTTTAGATGATAACAAATTAAATGTAGGTCTATCTTTTATGACTACAGGATCCTGAGATACTATATTTTTCCACAGAAAAACATATTTGTCCCGTCAACACAAATTTTGACTAATTCCAAAGGAAATTCAAATTTCCCAGTTTCCACCCAGCATTCAAACTCACCATGTACGCACAAATCAGTCAGGTGAGAAAATAGCGTCAAAAGGATTTTTGTACTTGTAAACTGATCTGTGTGTAATGTAGTTTTGTCCATGTGTACAAGGTGATTTTATTTGTGTATTCAATGATTTAGATGTGTAAGAACTGAAGTTACACATGAAAATGTAAACACAAGTTACAAATCAAGTGTTACACACACAAATCTAGATAAAGAGAAGAAGAAAATATCATTTCTATAGCGCCTCTCAAGATAAAAATCACGAGGCGCTTCACAAAAACAAAAATATATATATATAAAAAATTTTAAAAATATAAAAAAAGCATTTAGAAAATGTTTAAAAATATATTTAAAATGAGCATGAATAAGCAATTGCGATTTAAAAGAAAAAATGTTAAGAAAGAGAGAGAGTGTGAATAAGAAAGAGGGAAATCAGTGGATCCTGAGGAAGGTGGAATAGGTGGGGAGAGCAGAATAAAGAGAGTGGTGAAGAAGATCATACAAAAGCCAGCTTGAACAAGTGAGTCTTCAGCTGCTTTTTGAAGAAGACCACTGAGTCCACTGATCTCAGGCTCAGGGGGAGAGAGTTCCTGAGTCTGGGGGCCACAGCAGCAAATGATCTGTCACCTTTGGTCTTTAGCCTGGTGCGCTGCACAACCAGTAGGCTTTGATCACTGGACCTCAGGGACCTGCTGGGGGTGTAGAGACTAAGAAGATCACCAATGTAAGATGGTGCTTGTCCATGTAAGGCCCTATAGACCAGAACCAGGATCTTGAAATGAACCCTAAAGTTTACTGGCAGCCAGTGAAGCTGGAGGAGAAGAGGGGTGATGTGGGTGTATTTGGAGGACTTGGTCAGAAGCCGAGCACAGGCATTCTGAACCACCTGTAGACGGTTCAGGGAGGTTCTGCTCAGACACGTGAAAAGAGAGTTACAGTAGTCTAAGCGTATGGAGATGAAGGTGTGGATAACTGTCTCAAGTTCAGAGTGGGACAGAATGGGACTTAGCTTAGCAATGTTCCTGAGATGGAAGAAGGAAGAGCGAACAAGAGAACTGACATGAGAATCCAGGGTGAGAGCTGGGTCAAAGGTCACGCCAAGATTCCTGACAGAAGGTTTGGTGTGGGAAGCAAGCTGACCAAGAGAGTCTCTGACTTTGGGAACCAGCTTGTCCGGGGCACAGATGAGGATCTCAGTCTTATCTTCATTCAGCTGAAGAAAGCTCCCAGCCATCCAGGTTTTGATAGAGTCTAAGCAGGTGTGTAACAGCTTCAGCTTATATCATGGGGCTTAAAGGAGATGTACAGTTGGATGTCATCTGCATAAAGATGGTAGGAGATTCCTTTGAAGGAGCTCAGGATGTGCTGAAGAGGAAGCAGATAGAGGAGGAAGAGTAGAGGCCCTAGCACAGAACCTTGTGGGACACCATGGGTAAGAGAGGTGGTGGAGGACCTAAACTTGGAGACGGCCACAGAAAAGGAGCGCTCAGAGAGATAAGAGGAGAACCACTCCAGAGCAGATCCTGATAGGCCTACCCAGTCTCTCAGCCTCTCCAGTAGCAGGTGATGGTGAACAGTGTGAAAGGCTACAGTCAGGTCCAGCAGGACCAGAACAGAACAGTCCCCTGCATCACTGTGAGTCAGAAGGTCATTAGAGACCCTAAGAAGAGCTGTTTCAGTAGAATGAGCTCTACGAAAACCTGACTGGAAGCTATCATAGATGTCATGTTCATCAAGAGCAGCTGTGAGTTGTTTAGCCACAACCTTTTCCAAGATCTTGGAAAAGAGATACACTCACACACAAATGTAGACACACACGCACACATCTTTTGAAACTTTTTTCTCCCCATAAATATAGCATATGAAGCATTTCTGCCCATCTTTAAATCAGTGTATAATAAATATGGTCCAATTATACAATATAAAGAACATTATAAATGTAGAGCGAAAGCATGGATGACTAAAGGTTTACAAAATGCAGGTCAGAAAAAGAATACATTATTTAGGGATTTTATAAAACATAGAACAAATGAAGCTGAAAATAAAAAAACATATAAAAATAAATTAGTTAATATGATGAGAAGCTGTAAGAAAGATGATTATGAAAATCAATTAGAAAATAATAAAAATAATATTATGGGGATATGGAATGTTTTAAATAAAATTATTAGGAATAGGTCCAAAAGTAAAAATTACCCACTATATTTTATGGAAAATGACGTCATTATGCGCAGCATGAATGATGTGGCACAGGAGTTTAATAATTACTTTGTAAATGTCGGACCAAAACTGGCTGAAACAATTTGTACTCCTCAGTTAGAGGAGGGAGGGGGAGGAGTTGAGGACTTAATAGAAATCAACCCAGCTTCTCTGTTTTTGACACTGGTAACAGATAAGGAAGTTATTGAAATAGTTGGTGGTTGTCAAAGCAAAACATCTACAGACTGGAATTATATGTTTATGTTTATTTATTTGGCAGATGCTTTTATCCAAAGACTTACAATTTATAACCTATAGGGCATGTTGTGATCTGTGGGGGAAACCGGAGTACCCGGAGGAAACCCACGCATGCATGGGTTGAACACGCAACTCCACGCAGAAAGGCTGCAGCCGAGTTTCGAACCTGCAACCTTTGTGCTGCAAAGCAATAGTGCTAACAACTGCGCCACCGACATGTCTTTGATCAAGAAGGTTATAGGGGTTATTGTGCAGCCACTGACTTATATTTGTAATCTGTCCTTCACAGCTGGTTTATTTCATGTAAAATGAAAACGGCTAAGGTTATTCCATTATACAAAGAGGGAGTCAATAAGCAGTTCACTAATTATAGAACAGTTTCATTATTATTGGGGCAGCAGTAGCTCAGGTGGTAGAGCGGGTTGCCCCATGATCGGAGGGTCATGGGGTCGATTCCAGCTCCTGCCAGGGGTATTCTGCTGTTGTGTCCTTTTGCAAGACACTTCACCCAACTTGCCTGTGTTGGTGGTGGTCAGAGGGGCCGATGGCGCCAAATGGCAGCCTCGCCTCTGTCAGACCGCCCCTGGGTGGCTGTGGCTACAAAGTAGCTTACCATCACTAGCAGTGTGTGAAAGCATCTTTTAGTGTCGTGAAAAGCACTAGATAAGTTCAATGCATTATTATTATTATTATTATTATTATTATTGCAAATTTCAAATATTTTAGAAAAGTTATTTGTCATTAGACTGGACAAATACATTGAAAATCATAATCTGTTATCAAATAGTCAGTATGGGTTCAGAACAAATAGATCTACATCAATGGCATTAATGGAAATTGTTGAAGAAATCACTAGTTCTATAGACACTGTAAGAGGGAACATGCAGCTGGAGTATTTGTAGATTTAAATAAAGCCTTTGATACAATTGATCATACAGTATTAATTAATAAACTTCAAAAATATGACACGCACGACAGCCAGATGCCGTAAAGCAGCCTCCGCCTCCCAGACAAACAGAAGAAGACAACGCCGCATGGCTACATTGCAATTTCCCACGCGAGTTGTCTCCGATCCAAGTTTTGTCTGCCAAATAAATAAACAAAAACATAAACAGCAAATTTGGGAGGCGCTTCACAGCCCAACTTAATTAGCATACCAAGTCCGACACGTAGTTGTATATTCACGCTTATGTGCTTAAAGGAAAACTACCGTTTATTGCAACCCGGATTTAATTTCTAGCATGCAGTACGTTTGTTTACTCACGCTGACAACTTTGGTGCTACTTGGATTCCCCGGGGTATTTAGATCCATTGGTGAATCGCCATCAGTGTATATCCAAATAACGGGTGCAGATGGGCACCCATGGTGCAGCCTCGAAATAAGACATTATCTGCACCAAAACATCTCAATGTCGAAAGGTTTTGTTAGGAATCATTAACATGATTCCCCTGTTCGTTTGGAGCGAGTCTGGGATTTCTAGGCGTGAACAGACTAGCCACGGCTAATCTAACCGGCGCTTTTAATGACGTCACTGCCGTGCGCCAATCTGTTTTTATTAAGATTACCGGTAGATGAACCTTCGTCCTACTGTGGAGAAATTCGTTTTCTCCCTTTATTGACCAACAGAGTTGTTCAAAAGTACAGAACAAAACATATGGCATTACATCTTATGACAAAAATGCACCTTAAACAGAGTTTAAGCAGCAAAACATCACTCTGCAAATAGTGTATATACAGTGAGACAATTCATGATTTAAAGTGTTAACTTTCGCCAGGTTTGTATGCACGTTTTAAAAAATGCTGATACTTGAAAGGTTTAAGCACTTTATACACTTAATTCTTAACATTTAATTTTTGCAATATAAATTGAGGGATGTTATTTTTTGAATAAACTTGTTCAATAAATTGGTGTTTTTAAATAGTATCAAAATCGAGTATCGAGTTTTTTTTCCAGTATCGAATCGAGTTTGAAATTTTAGGATCGTGACAACCCTATTAGGGGAGTTGTTCTCAGTTGGGTTAGGAGTTATATAACCAATAGAAATCAATTTGTTTAAATAAATATTTATGAGTCAGAATTACTTAGTATGAATTGTGGGGTGCCACGGGGTCAGTTTTGGGTCCAAAGCTATTTATTTTATATATTAATGATTTCTGTGAGGTTTCCAGAGCATTAAAATGTGTTTTATTTGCAGATTTTTTGCTTCAGGAGAGACTTTGCAAGATCTTTGTAAGTTGGTAACAACAGAAATGGCTAAACTGAAACTATGGTTTGATCTGAATAATCATTAAACTTAAAACTAAAGTTATGTTGTTTGGAAAACGTAAAATAAACACACACATGGCAATAACTATAAATGACATTATTATAAAAAGTGTACGAAAATACATTTCTGGGTGTAATCCTTCACCACAAATTATGTTGGAAACCTCGCATAAAATATGTTCAAGGAAAGGTAGCACGGAGTATTGGGGTGTTGGGGAAAGTAAGACATTTTGTGATTCGAAAGGCGTTGTATACACTGTACTGTACACTGATAGTACCATACCTAACTTACTGTGTTGAAGTGTGGAGAAACATCTATAAAACCACCCTAAATGCACTTTGTACGTTACAAAAACGAGCCATAAGGTTGGTCATTCATGTGGGATATAATGAACACACAAATAGCTTGTTTATAAAATTACAAACTTTAAAGTTCAAAGATTTGATTGAATTTAGGACTGCATTATTTATGTACAAAGTAAATAAAAAAATGCTGCCTGAAAATATTCAAAAACTGTTTGCAGAAAGACAAGGTAGATATAAGTTGAGAAGGGAATTAAATTTGAAGCAGCATTATGCTCGAACAAAATTGAAAAGTATGTCTATTTCAATTGGTGTAGCTATTTTATGGAATAGTCTTGAGGAAAGAATCAAAAAAGTTTAAACATGCTGCAATTTAAGAAATTATATAAAGAATTAATTTTTTCCAGATATAGAGGATCACTAATTTGTATAATGTACTGTAGTGATAAAATGTATTAACGTTATTGTAATTGATGTTGATACTTTTGAGTTGTTGGGGTCTAGGGGTCCTCCCTAGATTTATATCAGGGATGCAGAATTTCATCTATCAGCTAATAAATGATTTATGACTCTGAACAGGTGTCGTCAAAAACATGATGTTCTAAAAAACATAGAATCTATGTTTAGAATATAAATTCACCTTTAATTTACCCCAAACCCAAGTCATCAGGACGAGGGCTTAAATACCATCCAACCATAGAAGAAGCCTGCTTTGTCTTTAACATACATTGCATGTATTGGGTCATGAAGGCTGTCAGGCTGATCAGGAGGGAGGCGCAGATGTACAGATGGTATGTTGTCTGTGTTCTATAACAGGACTTGGAAACCCTAAACGGTGCATGAAACCAGTGGCGGTTTCACCATTATGCATACGTCGGCGGCCGCCTGGGGCCCCCTTGTGTTGGGGGGCCCCCTAGCCCTTACTGCCGGCACCCCTCTGTTAATGCCACAATATTCTTATTACCAACCTGTCGCCGCCGACAGGATTGGACATACGCACTTTTCATTACCATAATTCCTGAACCGTTCCAAGGTATCATTAAAGGGACTTTAGGGAGTTTTGAATTTTTATGCTCGCGATTGCCCCCTCTGGCCAAAAGCGTAACGACAGCTTCAATAGGACGCTCATGCACGAGGCACGCATGCTGTACGTGCACACTCCTTAATGAAAATAACAGCTGAGACGAAGCTCTGTGAAGCTGATCCCCGTCAGCTCCACAGAGCTCTGAGAGCTGACAGTCCCTTGTGTGTGTGTGTGTGTGTGTGTGTGTGTGTGTGTGTGTGTGTGTGTGTGTGTGTGTGTGTGTGTGTGTGTGTGTGTGTGTGTGTGTGTGTGTGTGTGTGTGTGGTGATGTTTGGACTTCACTCATTGGTTTGGAGATCTTATCACATAAATGTAATGTAAAACTATGTAAAACAATGAAAAAGAAAATGACGGCATCTGTTTGTTGTGGGGTGAGGTCTCAGCTGAGCTACAGCTGATGAATAATTTTATTTTTCAGAGTTAATAGTTATGCATAATTTTCTTTCAATTGTTTGACATTTGGAAATCAGTTATTGTGTGGGCGTCTGAGATGTTTTAACTGCGAACACAGAAAAATCTGTTATTAGTTTCACAATTTTAAGGGCCAAAAACATCGTCGTCGTCGTCTTCCTCTGCTTATCCGGGTCTGGGTCGCGGGGGCAGCATCCCAACTAGGGAGCTCCAGACCGTCCTCTCCCCGGCCACGTCCACCAGCTCCTCTGGCAGGACCCCAAGGCATTCCCGGACCAGATTGGAGATGTAACCACTCCAACGTGTCCTGGGTCGACTCGGGGGCCTCCTGCCGGCAGGACATGCCCGAAACACCTCCCCGGGGAGGCGTCCAGGAGGCATCCTGACCAGATGCCCGAACCACATCCACTGACTCCTTTCGATCTGGAGGAGCAGCGGTTCTACTCCGAGTCCCTCCCGAATGTCCGAGCTCCTCACCCTATCTCTAAGGCTGAGCCCGGCCACCCTACGGAGGAAACTCATTTCGGCCGCTTGTATCCTCGATCTCGTTCTTTCCGTCATTACCCAAAGCTCATGCCAATAGGTGAGGATTGGGACGTAGATCGACCAGTAAATCGAGAGCCCGGCTTTCTGGCTCAGCTCCCTCTTCACCACGACTGATCAGCTCATCGTTCGCATCACTGCAGATGCTGAACCAATCTGCCTGTCGATCTCCCGATCCCTCCTACCCTCACTCGTGAACAAGACCCCGAGATACTTAAACTCCTCCACTTGAGGTAGGACCTCTCCCCCGACCCGGAGTTGGCAAGCCACCCTTTTCCGGTCGAGAACCATGGTCTCAGATTTGCAAGTGCTGATCCTTATCCCAGCTGCTTCACACTTGGCCGCGAACCTACCCAGCAAGAGTTGAAGGTCAGAGCTGGATGAAGCTAGGAGGACCACATCATCCGCAAAAAGCAGAGACGAGATTCTCCTGCAACCAAACTCGACACACTCCACACCACGGCTGCGCCTAGAAATTCTGTCCATAAAGGTAATGAACAGAACCGGTGACAAAGGGCAGCCCTGGCAAAGTCCAACCCTCACCGGGAACAGGTTCGACTTACTACCAGCTATGCGGACCTAACTCGCACTCCTCTGGTAAAGGGACTGAATGGCAATGGCAACTGAACAGCAGCTCCCCATCCCCAAGTGTGAGCGAGTTGCTGCCTTCCTCTCGCCGGACATTTTGCCAGAACCTCTTTGGAGCCGATCGATAGTCTTTCTCCATGGCCTCACCAAACTCCTCCCACCCCCGAGATTTTGCCTCGGCAACTGCCACTGCTGCACCCCGCTTGGCTATCCGGTACCTGTCTGCTGCCTCCGGGGACCCACAGACCAGCCACGCCCTGTAGACTTCCTTCTTCAGCCTGACGGCTCCCCGAACCTCTGGTGTCCACCAGCGGGTACGGGGGTTGCCACCACGACTGGCACAGGCCACCTTGCGACCATAGCTAGCAACAGCCGCCTCAACAATCGCAGAGTGGAACAAGGCCCACTCGGAATCAATGTCCCCCACTGCTCTCGAGACGCGGTCAAAGCTCTGCCGGAGGTGGGAGTTGAAGACCGTCTTGACAGGTTCTTCTGCCAGGCGTTCCCAGCAGACCCTCACTATGCGTTTGGGTCTGCCAGGTCTACGCAGCATCTTCCCCTGCCATCTGATCCAACTCACCACCAGGCAGTGATCAGTTGGAACCCAGATGGAACTCCCGGAACCCTTCCGGTCGGCAACAAGATGGCGCCTGTGCTTGGCTTAGCCGCAGTCACCGGCCACTTTTTCAAACTTTTCTCCACTAACCTCCTCTTTTCTACCTTGCTCCTGTCTAGAATCCTCTTCAGTAGTGTCCCTGCTACCATCTCCTATGATCGCCAGACTCTTTTTTCCTTCCATTCGTTCATGATCGCCCAAGATGCACCGAGGATTTACCACCCTGTTTGTTTACCTGAGCGGCGCACTGGCCCGGAGCCAAACGACGGTCACGAGCTGCGCACCTCCGGCTATGTTTATCCGGTCCCGGGAAAACGTCGGAGGAAAAGAGGTAAACAAGCAGGAATCCAGGTGAGAATAAGACCTCTCTTAAAGCGTGGTTTATCTAGTAAACATCGGCGTGATCTTCTAGCTTCTTGTCCTTTGGGTGGTGACCTGAGCGCCACTTCCGCATTCACGCCAGGCCGCAATGCAGCGTGGTTCATCCGTCCAAGTTTTTTAAGGTTGGTTTATCCTCATTCCTCAGTGGTTTATCCTCCTGTTCCCTCCATAAGTGGTTTTTATAAACACCGTGGATCTAACCCTGCTAATTTAAGTCCACTAACTCCAGCTGTTTCTGTAGTTTCTGATTCCTCCACCTCACTCAGTATGGCTCTATTAAATACCCGCTCTGTTAACAATAAGTCTTTCCTGCTCAATGATCTAATTATCTCTAAAAACCTGGATTTTCTGTTTCTGACTGAAGTTTGGCAGCAAACATCTGATTATTCTGGTCTGATTGAACTCTGCCCAAGTGGTTATTCTTTCCTTAGCAAGCCTCAGGGTTCTGGTCGTGGTGGAGGCCTAGCTGTTGTTTTTAGAGACCATCATCCATGTAGCTCTACAACCTCTGGTCACTTTGCTTCTTTTGAACTGCAGCTGATTAAAGTCGGGCGTAAAGACCCGTTCTACTGTGCTGTGGTTTATCGTCCACCTGGTCCAAACAGTTCCTTCCTTCAGGAGTTTAGTGACTTTCTATCCTTCACTGTGAAGCTGTCCAGACTGGTGAATGTTGGTGACTTTAACATCCACGTTGATGATCCCTCTGATCACTTTGCCATGAAATTATCCAGCCTTATGGACACCTTCGGCTTTACCCAGCATGTTTCTGGCCCCACACACACCAGGGGGCACACTCTAGAACTTGTTTTTACCCTGAGTCTAAAAGCTGACAGTGTTTGTCCTGAGGACGTTTATATTTCAGATCACCATTGCATTTTCTTTAACTTGTCAGTTTCTGCATCCCCACCTCCTGCTCGCCGTATGGTTAGTTCTCGTTTTCTTAATGATAGCACAGCTAGCAATTTTTCTGCTGCTTTTGATCCATCCTTTTCTTCTGATAACGACCCAGATTCCTTAACTTCTCAGTTTAACAAGCACTGCCTCTCCATTCTGGACAACATCTGTCCTGTCAGAACCAGATCAGTTCCTGCAGTGAACCCTACTCCCTGGTTTAATGACAGCCTTTGCAGCCTGAACCGCCAATGCAGAAAAATTGAGCGTTTGTGGAAGAAAACTCATCTCCACATCCATCTGCTGCACCTAAAGGATCTTCTGACATCCTTTAACTCCGCAGTCAGAGATGCCAGGGTTTCCTATTTCTCCAACCTGGTGTCCCAGAGCAAAGGGAACCCCAAGGTGCTGTTTAACACCATCAGCAGCATCGTCTCTCCTGCCTCTCCTACAGCCTCCATCCACTGTTACAGACTGTGAGAGCTTTCTGTCTTTCTTTGTAGACAATGTCAATAAGGTTAGATCTAGCATCTCTCCTTCAGCCTTATCGCTGCCTCTCCCGACTTCAACCAGGCCCATCATCCTAGATAGCTTTGCTCCTGTTTCTTTGCCTGAGTTAACCAAACTAGTTAACTCTATGAAGACCTCTGCATGCCCCCTCGACATCTTACCCTCATCTTTGTTTAAAAGTGCTTTTCAGTCTATCGGTCCCAGCGTGCTCTCTATAATTAATGCTTCTCTGGTTTCTGGTCAGGTCCCTGCTTACTTTAAGAACGCTGTAATCCACCCTCTTCTTAAAAAACCGAGTCTCGACCCCTCTCTCCATAGCAGCTTCAGACCCATCTCTAAACTTCTGTTCATCTCCAAGATCTTGGAAAAGGTTGTGGCTAAACAACTCACAGCTGCTCTTGATGAACATAACATCTATGATAGCTTCCAGTCAGGTTTTCGTAGAGCTCATTCTACTGAAACAGCTCTTATCAGGGTCTCTAATGACCTTCTGACTCACAGTGATGCAGGGGACTGTTCTGTTCTGGTCCTGCTGGACCTGACTGCAGCCTTTCACACTGTTGACCATCACCTGCTACTGGAGAGAGTGAGAGACTGCGTAGGCCTATCAAGAACTGCTCTGGAGTGGTTCTCCTCTTATCTCTCTGAGCGCTCCTTTTCTGTGGCCGTCTCCAAGTTTAGGTCCTCCACCACCTCTCTTACCCATGGTGTCCCACAAGGTTCTGTGCTGGGGCCTCTGCTCTTCCTCCTCTATCTGCTTCCTCTTCAGCACATCCTGAGCTCGTTCAAAGGAATCTCCTACCATATTTATGCAGATGTACATTTATCCAACTGTACATCTCCTTTAAGCCCCATAAGATGTCTAAGCTGCAGCTGTTACAGACCTCCTTAGACTCTATCAAAACCTGGATGGCTGGGAGCTTTCTACAGCTGAATGAAGATAAGATTGCGATCCTCATCTGTGCCCCAGACAAGCTGGTTCCCAAAGTCAGAGACTCTCTTGGTCAGCTTGCTTCTCACACCAAACCTTCTGTCAGGAATCTTGGCGTGACCTTTGACCCAGCTCTCACCCTGGATTCTCATGTCAGTTCTCTTGTTCGCTCTTCCTTCTTCCATCTCAGGAACATTGCTAAGCTAAGTCCCATTCTGTCCTGTTCTGAACTTGAGATTGTTATCCACACCTTCATCTCCTCACGCTTAGACTACTGTAACTCTCTTTTCACGTGTCTGAGCAGAACCTCCCTGAACTGTCTACAGGTGGTTCAGAATGCCTGTGCTCGGCTTCTGACCAAGTCCTCCAAATACACCCACATCACCCCGCTTCTCCTCCAGCTTCACTGGCTGCCAGTAAACTTTAGGGTTCATTTCAAGATCCTGGTTCTGGTCTATAGGGCCTTACATGGACAAGCACCATCTTACATTGGTGATCTTCTTAGTCTCTACACCCCCAGCAGGTCCCTGAGGTCCAGTGATCAAAACCTACTGGTTGTGCAACGCACCAGGCTAAAGACCAAAGGTGACAGATCATTTGCTGCTGTGGCCCCCAGACTCTGGAACTCTCCCCCTGAGCCTGAGATCAGTGGACTCAGTGAACTCCTTTAAAAAGCAGCTGAAGACTGCTGGCTTTTGTATGATCTTCTTCACCGCTCTCTCTTTATTCTGCTCTCCCCACCTATTCCACCTTCCTCAGGATCCACTGATTTCCCTCTTTCCTATTCACTCTCTCTCTTTCTTAACATTTTTTAATCACAATTGCCTATTTTTGCTCATTTTAAATATACTTTTAAACATTTTCTAAATGCTTTTTTATATTTTTACATTTTTTGTTTTGTGAAGCGCCTCGTGATTTTTATCTTGAGAGGCGCTATAGAAATGACTTCTTCTTCTTCTTCTCCTCCTCCTCGCCTCGGTCTGCCACCCGATCCAACCTGCACCGGACCCTTCGTGTTCCTCCTGCGGGTGGTGGGTCCACAGTTGGATGAGCCCATGTATCCGGTTCGGGCCGGGCCCCATGGGCGAAAGCCCGGCCACCAGACGCTCGCTCACGGGCCCCAACCCCAGGCCTGGCTGCAGGGTGGGACCCCGGTAACCCTCCGGGCTAGGTACTCCGACTCTTTGATTTTACATCCATGAAAAATCCTCTGAACCGTTCTTTGTCTCACCCTTCACCTAAGACCAATTTGTCATGGGAGACCCTACCAGGGGCACAAAGTGCCCCAGACAACATAGTTCCTAGGATCATTAGGGCACTCAAACTCCTCCACCACGATAAGGTGATGGTTCAATTTGTTTTATGTGAAAAGTTGTTTAAAAATGAAGCTGGCATCGATTCATTCTGTATCATGTGAGACATCAGAAAATCTGGTTAGAAACAAAAAGCCCAGATGTGAAGAGCAGAAAGAAATCTCAGTTTGCAAAAGTTATTGCAAGTCAAATTTCCATTAACCAATGCTCAATTCATCCATCCATCCATCCATCCATTTATCTATTTATTTATTTATTTATTTATTCATTTATTTATTTATCCATCCATCCATCCAACTATCTTATCCATCCATCCATGCATACATACATACATACAGTACATACATACATACATACAAACAATAATCCATCCATCCATCCATCCATCGATTCATCCATTCACCCTCAGTCACACTCCTGCTTTCTTGTATTCTCAGCACCTGAGTTAAACCAGGAAGTCACATGGTTCATCTCTAGCTCTTGAATGCAGACCAGATTTGACTTTATTGTAGAAGCTCATTCATTCCTTTGAGTTTTTATACTGATGTATTGTGCAAGCCCCATCCTAAAACATTAAATCAATTAAAATTCCTTTACAAAACACATTTTTTTCAAACATGCGTTTGTAAAATCACATAAAAATTCCATAAATATACATCAACGCTGCCAAAACATTCTCAGCTTCACCATTACTGTGTGCTGCATGACGATATTTGTTATGATAATCAGAACTATCAGGAATAAAGTAAACCGTTTCTCTTTAAAACGTCTTCATAAGGTCTACAGACGTGTGTTCTAGTAATCTGTGCTCAAATCATGCTAAGAATCTGTTAGAGTGATTATTTCTGTCAGTGATTATTAGACATACCCTCACACATTATGTTTAAGTTAATAAAATGTTAATTATGTAAATGTGTAGCTGTTGTTATGCATTACTAATCCTGTTTTTTAACGCATACAACCCAAATTAATGAAACATTTTTGCATAAGGTTAAACTTTTCATAATGAGAGGAGCCCATAGCAGTTTAATCTGTGAAGTGCACATGAAACATCTCCCTGATGAATGCCGTATTTACTCTAATGGGTTAATTGTATGCAATAAAACCATCACTAGCAGTGGTTTTTCTAATGTGTTCCCGAAGGTGATTTCCATAAAAGACTCAAGTTGGATTAAAACATCATTCTTCTTCCTGTCGTGTAAAACAGCAGCTAAACTTTAACTAATGAAGTCTAAAGTTTACAACAGATAAATTATTGTAGAATTTAATTCACTTCAGAATTAGCTTTTTTATATATTAGAGTTTGTTTTATTGTACAGATGAGGAATAATGTCTGACTAAAATGTGATTTTAAAACATTTTATTTCCTTTACAGACTGAATTCATCCATTACTTCATCAGTGAAATTCAGATTTTCCCCACGTCCACTAATTAACTGAACCTTGATGTTGCACGTATTTAATTCATCATAATTCAGCCAACACTCTCTGGTATCTTATTACTGTTCGCAAATAATAATTTCAGGCCAAATTCTCATAAGTCATTCATAATTTCCTCTCGTCTATAGTTGTACTTTAAAATCAAATTTTCCCCCTTTATTTAATAAATGCTGTCTGCTTAAATGAAAATGCTTATGTAAGTGTGATAAGGCTATGGTTACCATGGTAACAAGATATGTCTTCAGTTGTGGAATGGATGGAGGAGATGCATCCGAGCACATGACAGCAACCTCTTATGGCAAACGCAGAGTGTTTGATTTAGACATTCAACGGTAATCAAACACTGATTATGATGCGTGCTTAATCTGAGTCGCAAAGTAAAGTTGGAATATTAAATAATCTGTGAGACACATGCGAGCATCAGTCAGGAAAAGGGAGTGGAAACTTCTGGCTACATTTGAATAACTGGAAACCAGTTATAGGGTTAGTTTCCACGCCAGAGACAACAGAAGAAGTAAAATGTCACAAAGCAGAGAACTTTCTGTCTAGGAGCGCTGAAGTCTTGCAGAAATTGTGTATTTTAGCTCCCTGAGTGGTCTTTGCCAGTCACCATTAGCGACACACAGTCTTGCACTCTGCTCTCTTCCAGAACGGCTGCCAAAAATGATTCTGTCTTTTTTAATTTATTTTTATTACTAACCTGAATCCATTGGCGGCAACCCTGTCTCCTGTTTTATCAAAGTCAATAGACGACCTGGTTTGCTGATGTTGAGTCAGACAAACAAGCAGACAAAAAAATTATGTATTTCTTCAATTACAATAAAATAAGTGTTTTTCATGCTGCCAGTTATCTGCATTAATGGTTTATCAGGATGCCATCAAGAATAAGAGATTTGCTGGGTGGATGCTGAGAGCCAAAGAGGTGGTGCAGGGGAACATTTGCATGAATCTGTTGTTTGCTTTGGAATTAATAAAATGCATAACAGGGTCCATAGCATGACATCAACAAAAAGAGGAGGAGGAGATTTTGAAATCTGAACAGCTGTAGGGAGCCTAAGTCACGCCCATCCACTTCTGTACTATGAGTCCTCGGAAATACCATATTAACCCGAATATAGGATGCCCCCGATTATAGGACGACCCCCCTTTCCAAGACTAACTTCAGGAAAGGACCAAAAAATAAATCACTTTTTGAATAAACTAATTTTACTGAAAATTTGAGAGCAAATACTGAGCCAAAATTCATGCAAATTATCAGAACTTTGCTGGCATGTGAAATCAAAAGTCAAATGGGGCTTTTATTCAGACACCCTCTGCCTCGCTGTACTCACTCATGCTGCTGCGGTCCAGGTGTACCATCAGACCGCTACACCTGCCGACTCCTCCCAGAACATCATCCTCACTGCCATCCAATGCATCTGCTGAATTGACCACCGTCATCTTAAAATTTGCATAACTCTGCCTTTGTATGTTAACTTGTCCCACTTTCGGTCCCCTCTGCTCCGGACCTCTCATCTCCTTTTTTTTTTCTCCTGTTGAGAACATACAGCATGGCACCCTCTGCTGTTACAGGCGTGTAATGGTTAGACCCTGATTATAAGATGACCCCACATTTTTCAATTATTTTCAATGAAAAAAAACTGGTCTCATATTCGGGTCAATACGATAAGAAAAAATTAATCTAAGTCAACGGGGCTATAAAAGCTGTTTTCTAATCCCATATGTTACGTGTCAAGGATTTCATATATGATGTCCGTGAATTTTAGACACATTTTGATACCAAGAATGTGCAGATTTTTTTAACAAAGGCAAAAGTTCTTTTAAGTTTTGTATGAATAGACGTAGTGGAATACAAACGCATCTCACCATATTGACGTCATCAATCCGGACATGGAGGACTGCGAGTTTAGCAGCCTTCGAATCCTTCTTCCAGGACAACAAAAAGAGCATTAAATGTGGAGAAACTACCATAAATCTGGCCATGTGGTAAGTAGCAGCTATGGGACAGAAGAGGTTCTGTGTACAGACACGGTCAAAACTCACATTATTACTTTTCATTTAAAAAGAAGTACAACATATGTGTGATTCAGGGTGTATGGCAAAGCGGATTCGAAACAGCTTTTATATCCCCATTCACTTGCATTCATTTCCTTTTTGTTCAGAGGACCCATGAGCAGATCAGAAGGGAAGGAGACTAAAGCCTGGACCACACTGTGCGTTTTTCAGCCATCCTAGCCAAATCTCTCATCGTGAACAGAATGATGGCAAAAAACTGTGAACGCGAGGGTGATTTGCAAGTGTGTGGTCATCCAGTGTGACTGGCTCTGAGCACCCTCACAACCAAAGTCTGTCTCCAACATTCGTCAAACACTGCTTGAAAACTTATGACTTCCATCTGGAATCGGCCAATGAAAATACACCCAGGGAGTGATGGTAACACCTTGTGACGGGAGTACAATACGAGAGATGAATTAGCAACATTAGCAACAGTGGAAGCTACACGCAGGAACATGTTGACCACTCATTTTTGAAGTCTAGTAAAAGAAGTGTTACCGACAGAGCTTTTTTTCTCTTTTCAGCATTGTCGTTTTGGTTAGCTGTCAGCTTTTAATGACTTGTA